CTGAAAAGCCACTGTGTTGACATAAATCATGTGCCATCATCCATCTACATGTACCAGGGCTAAATTGGTTTAATTGATGTCCCAGTCTTTTCCGAGTAACAATGCCGTGGTACCTTCTACTGTGCTTACGGACACTTCTTGGTGATAGTACATGAGAGCCAGCCCATTACATTCCTAAATGCAAATATGGCTGTCTATTGTGTTCAATTGAGGGAGTATTCAATACAGTGTACAGCTTTGCCAGTCTGGTACCATTTCTGGACTGACATGTGGGTCATGCCACGAAGTTCGGGCACAGTTTGTGACGGCGTCCCTTGTTACATCAGTGAAAATAAACATCTTTTTTCCCCTGCATGTGGATTCTAAATTGACATTGTCCTAAATCTTGCTAGGTTCTTGTAGTGGTGTGCTTCATCTTTGCCGAATAATAATGACTTAATCTGTTGTAATGTGAAAATAATGGGCAATAAAAGTTACCGATGTAACAAGGGACGCCAGAACAAACTGTGCCCCAACTTCATGGAATGACCCACATACGTGTACAGTGTAAGGCATGATGTCCCAATCTCGTTCAACTGCACACAATGTGGCATATTCCCGAACCCCCCCCATTCCCTGTATGGCCAGGTTAACGTGATGAATAGCACTGTTGTAAAATGGCACACGAGTCCCCATAAATATTCTGAGTAGCCAGTGTTTGCATGAATAGCGTGCCTTCACCCATAAACGAGTTGCCATATTGGCGTGTGCTTTTCAAAACACTCGGCCGTCGTCAGTGACGCACAATTTCCTCCGTATTTCATCACTCGGGCCAAACAACAGTCCCCATTCTTTGCGTGAGTTACATGTACTTCCATCTCAAACTTGCCAGAATTCCAACTAGAGCTGTCCTCGGAGAGTAAATCAAGCGTGAGCAAAATTTCCTCCTGAGCGACCCGAGCGCAAGCGGGCGATCAAGCACGCGAACAATCAATGTATAATTGATCCATTTGGCTACGGTAGTTCTGTTTTCTGTCGGCAGCATTCCAGCTGTTAGACCCGCTCAGGTACTGTAAACGGCACTTTGTGACCTGGACGTGAGAGCTTGTGAGAGCCAAGTTAAAACAGAAATTAAGTGCACACATTTATGCTCATGTGCGTTCTGTGTAACAATGATGGTACATGTACATGTAGATTTAGACTTCACCGGTATCCGCGACCAGTTTTTGACTGAATGTGCAAAATTATATGTACGTGTACGTAAAAATCCCTTGGCATACATGTAGATCTGTGCTTGAGGGAAATGTGCATACATGTACATGTAGGTGCGTGTCAGACATGGAGAAAAGATTTATTCAGTTCCGGTACGGTACATGTACATTGTACACGTGCAAGCATTTCCACCTGGGGTAACGGAGGTACGCCAATACATGTATCCGGTATCTGAGATCTCCTTCCAAATGAATTGAGTAATTCTTGAAATAAAAGACACCCAACAGAAAGTGAAACACCAGAACAGAACTTTCAGGAATACACGGACAGGATTGAGGAAATACAATGCAGGAATATAAACAAGCAAAATGTACAACAGTGAAGAAAACAAGCGTAAAACAATAATGTGCATAAACAAATCATACATGTAAGTTGGGAGTTTTCAAAGTGTAAAATAAGTAGAGGAAAGCCAATACTGTTGTATTGTTTACACTTCACCCTGGGGGAGGAATTAAAGGAAAGCATTTTTTGGGGGGGGGTGGGGGATTTCTAGGGAAGGGGGACAAAGCACTCATCAGCTGTGAACCTATAAACTATTAGCAGCGGAAGGGGGTCGGTTTCTTTTAATTTTTTTTTTCAAATTTCTCTTTTCCATGTTTCTTTTTCGATTTTTGTTCTGGGGAGGGGGAGAGAAGCAAAAACCTGCCCCCCCCTCAATGCCCAAGATCCACTGGTTTTGAACATCATCTTCAACTGCAGAACTTGCCCAAAATTTGGACCATATTGTACTCTGTTATTGAAGGTCAAGACTGAGCAAAAATACACTACACATTCACGTGTAGAATATTGTGTTGTCAATGGAGATATCAGCAGCTCACACACATACACACACATGGTAGACTATGTCTGTTAGAAGCCTCTACTGTGCCCTGCAGGCTAGAATTTCAAGAGTGGTCTGGCCAGGCGACATTGAGTGTTAGTCCTACACAGTGGCGCATCCCACGGAACATTGATCAGTCGCTGGGAAGACATCCATCATCCAAAGAAGAAAGATCAATACATGTCTGGGACAAGCTACTATAAGGTTTCTCCTCCCTGTTCCTCCCCCCAACGTAGTCCGGGCTATAAATATTGTGCGCACGCACTAGGGGTGCAGTTTGTGGAAAGGGAATAGGCCATGCCGCTGTCTGCATGCATGTCAGTGAACCCCCAAGCTGTGATCTGACTTGCGAAGTTTGAGTGGACATTAAAGGTGCATCTTGCACCTGCCAAGGGTGCTTGGTCTGGCATTATGTGAGCGACGGTGTAACTGGCCAGTCGATCCCGTCAATCCTTGTAGCCAAGTTCAATACTCCACCGTGTGTCAACCACTGGTCAATTTTGCCTGGGTAACTTTAGATGCATAAAACTATCTTGGGTACCGGGTACCATACAAAAACAAAATGGGAAGTTTAGAAATGGTCGCTGACTGAACTTGACCACGGTGGTCAAAGGATTTGAGGCATGGACCCCAAAATTATCCCGGTAATCCTGAATTAAAGCCCTGATGTGAACAAACTCATAACACTTTTGTCGCAAATGCTCGACAGAGTGTAGACTCACAAGTAAGTCGTTTACAAATTTACGTCAGGCTTTTTTGTCAGCAAAAGGAAAACCCAGTCTTAAAAGTCAAAATTGTCCCAAATTAAAAACAGAAAATTAATAGTCAATTTAAAAATTCACCGGCAGTCCATCTAGCAAGCGGCTTTGGTGACATGGTCCTTGATAGGATGAGAAAATCTTCTGCTTTGATCACATTTATCATAAAGTACATTCCATCACATTTACTAATTTCTCAGCATACATGTACATGTACACACACTACATGGAGATGTACCCATCATAATCCATACAGATTGAAATTGATCATTGGTAATAAACCTTTCAAGGTTTATCAGTGGTCAAAGAGTACTAGCGTACTTGCGGGTGCAGACCACTAATTCAAGTGAGAGTTTCTGACCAGCTCATTAGCATTAAAAGTGCCCCCGCAGTATCTTTTGAAAAAGGAGATTGTTTGGCCCCCAAAATGGTGAGGTTGTGTAAATCCTTGCCAGGATCAACAGCCTGAGTCTTTGAGCTTTCATATGAGAGCAGAATGGCTAAAAACTACGGTTGAAAAATGGTCCCAAGTGCCCGAGAAGGTTGAGGGTTGTCACTTGAAAAATGGCTGCAATCAGACTTCGGAAAAATCACTTTTGGGGAGGGGTGATTTTGTTTTGTGGGAATAATTAAAAATG